ACCGCAAATTATCTTGTCAGTTATCTGCTGCGAACAAAACATGCTCAGCTCAGACTTATCTAAAAAGTGGTGGGAAAATCGATATTATAAAAATATTTATGAATCACCGCAAATTCTCTTAGACGTGCTCTTATCAGTTCAGACTTAGTTAAAACTGGTGGGTAAAATCGAGATTATAAATACCTATGAATCACCGCAAATTACCTTGTCAGTTATCTGCAGTGAACAGACGTGCTCAGTTCAGACTTAGCAATTCCCAACGCTCCTCCGTGGCCATTCCCCTTACCCTCTCGCGAGTGCGCGCATGCGCATGCGGCTCGTTCTGGTCTATAGACATATGATCGCTAATGATCTTGAACAAAGATGTCCTGATACACGAACCGCCAGAGGTACATCAGAAGTAATGTTAGTATTGTGTGTGCGTGTTTTTTGAACACGCTAAGTCGTGATGTACATCACGTGACGTACGTCACGTGACCTACGTGACGTGCGTGTGACAGGTGACGTACGTGTGACAGGTGACGTGCGTCACGTGACACGTGACGCACGTGGCACGTGACGTGCGTCACGTGACACTTGACGCACGTGGCGTACGTCACGTGACACGTGACGTGCACACTTTGTTCAAAAATACCAAAAAGCTGTCTTGATAGCCCGAACCGCCAGAGGTACAACATCAGAAGTAATGTTAGTGCGTGGTTGAGGTTCAAAAACTTAGCGTGTTCAAAAAAAAAAAACGTACCTAGACCAAAAGTCATTCTAGACCAGTCACTCTAGACCAAAGCACAAAAAAAAACGCCGTTTTTCAACGCCTTTTTTGTCACCATTCCCCTTAGTAGCGCGCATGCACATGGGGCTCGTTCTGCTGGTGCTGGTGCTGGCGCGGGCGTAGATAGCGTTTGTGGTAAGGGTTGGGGGTAGGTCTTGTTCTCTTACCACTATCCTATGGTACACAACAAACAAACTTACTCGTGCGCGATAAGAGAACAAGACCTACCCCCAACCCTTACCACAAACGCTATCTACGCCCGCGCCAGCACCAGCACCAGCAGAACGAGCCCCATGTGCATGCGCGCTACTAAGGGGAATGGTGACAAAAAAGGCGTTGAAAAACGGCGTTTTTTTTGTGCTTTGGTCTAGAGTGACTGGTCTAGAATGACTTTTGGTCTAGGTACGTTTTTTTTTTTTGAACACGCTAAGTTTTTGAACCTCAACCACGCACTAACATTACTTCTGATGTTGTACCTCTGGCGGTTCGGGCTATCAAGACAGCTTTTTGGTATTTTTGAACAAAGTGTGCACGTCACGTGTCACGTGACGTACGCCACGTGCGTCAAGTGTCACGTGACGCACGTCACGTGCCACGTGCGTCACGTGTCACGTGACGCACGTCACCTGTCACACGTACGTCACCTGTCACACGCACGTCACGTAGGTCACGTGACGTACGTCACGTGATGTACATCACGACTTAGCGTGTTCAAAAAACACGCACACACAATACTAACATTACTTCTGATGTACCTCTGGCGGTTCGTGTATCAGGACATCTTTGTTCAAGATCATTAGCGATCATATGTCTATAGACCAGAACGAGCCGCATGCGCATGCGCGCACTCGCGAGAGGGTAAGGGGAATGGCCACGGAGGAGCGTTGGGAATTGCTAAGTCTGAACTGAGCACGTCTGTTCACTGCAGATAACTGACAAGGTAATTTGCGGTGATTCATAGGTATTTATAATCTCGATTTTACCCACCAGTTTTAACTAAGTCTGAACTGATAAGAGCACGTCTAAGAGAATTTGCGGTGATTCATAAATATTTTTATAATATCGATTTTCCCACCACTTTTTAGATAAGTCTGAGCTGAGCATGTTTTGTTCGCAGCAGATAACTGACAAGATAATTTGCGGTGATTCATAGGTATTTAAAATTTCGACCTGTTTTTACCACTTTAGAAAAATCGTTGTTTACGAAAATTAAGAGATAACCTGTCATCTTTTGCAACCGTGTGACAACAGTGTTCCAGGGTCACCGCTGTTATCGTTGGCCAATATTAACTCGTTGACACCCCCGCGAGCAGTACTTCTTGCATATCACCGCTACGACAACACCTTCACTGAACGACTATCTATCTAACCTCATTTGCGACATAGGTGATTACCAACGCACCCGACCCCGCCGTCCACCATTCAGCTATACCATCAACACCGTTCAAATTTCCCGCCGTCTGATCCACCAATCAGAGCACCCCGGTCCCAAAAACTTCTGTCTGACCGACCTGTATGGCTGAGCGACCAATGGGTATCACCATTTTAGGACACGTCTTGCTATATACGACAAGGTCCGTGTCTCCCACGAGCAATTCCACACACACCTCCCATGTGAATGGAGCTTATTTCGATCTGACGTTATACCGTCGGTTCATCGACCCGTCGGTAGGGCCCCAAAAATTTCTATCGACCCCTGTATGTGGGTCACTCTACGACACCAGTGCGACATCGACACCATCTAGCGCTTAGAGACACAACTCACACTTATCAATGATACACATAACGTTTGACAGATGACGTTTGTATGTAGCGTCATCTAGCGGCGAGAACCACAGACTATCAGGTGATGGGTAACCTGTCGGGTATTTCATTTCAGGCTACTGCAAGATGGCATATCTCAGCTATTTTACGAAAATTGAAGTTAAAATTTTAATCACTTTCTATTTATCATTAGACCTATAACCTGTAAATGTATGCTAAAATTATAGCACTCCGGTCGGTGTTGCCTTAGAAATACTATGAATTTTTCTTCCAAGAATCGCCCTCGAATTCTATCTGTTTTTATTATTGTCTTGCGTAAGACTTGCTATACATACCTAAATTGGGTTACAGAAACATTTCTGCTTCATCCCACATTCCCAGTTTATCGTAGTATTTAACTATTTTAAAAAAGTAAATGTCATAAATATTAATACTAATATAAACGTAACACTTTTCAACAGTTCATCTTCAAACGAAGACATTTGTGGTTTAATATTCACGAAGGAAAGATCAACTGCCAAAAATATTGCACCATGTACTGAAAGATTTGAGTGAACATGTACCAGAGTTCAGACATATAAAGCCGGATTTCGTTGTGGGATATAACGGAAACTCTTTTAATAGCACCGTAGAATCACTTCCGATTAATAAGAAGAACAGATAAGTACTTGATCGTTTTTAGAAACAAGGAGATTAACATTTTAGTGGCGCCAAATGTAAGAGAAGGTGTAGATATACCAACTTGTACTATGGCTGTCAGGTAATTTTATTCACTAGTTTCTCATTGATTCGCTTGAATAAATCAAGATATGCTAGAGGAAAGCTCGTCACCGATAAATTGCATATAATCACTAGCTCAAGCATTCTAGCCAGATCTTTGCATATCAATTAAAATTAAGTTTGAGTCACTGTTCGTAGGCTCTAGGGTACGAACGCAGCATCGGTTTCGACCGAATTTGGCCAAAAATGCCCCTTCGACGACACATTTGGTCGTAGGCTCATGAACCCTACGGGCAAAGGTTTGGAAAAGATCTGGTCGCGTACCAAGCGGACATAAACATGGTCAGCGTATGAAAAATACTTTTTCCTCAACAATTAAACAATTACATGGCTTCTACAATATCTGATTGTTACTTTCTACCATATTCTATCCGTAATTTCAACAAGAATATTAAGTGACTCTACTTTGTTGCATTTTGTTTTTTTTGCTAGCGCCATAGTCTAACCTTTTACATGCACAAAAATAGAGGACCCACCGGTAAATTGTCGATACGGCTGACCAAAGAACTGAGGAGATTATAAGTAACTATTCTAAATTAAGTATATTTCGGTGTTTACCCTGTATCCCCTACCATTTATAATATATTATTTTGATTTTTTAATTGTATAATTTTAAAAATATCTGCATTTTAATAGTACATATGTTTTATTATCAACTTTGTAGATTAATGTATGGTCTTATCGTGAAACTGCTTTTGCAGTAACTATTATTTCCGTTATAACGGTGGGAAGCAAATATGTGTTTTCATATCCCAACGAATGTCAAAGGAAACAGTATTATCGGATACCAGCGCTGATAGATGTTATGCCTTTTCAGTATGTGTTTTTTTCTGTAGCCTTCGGTTGTCTCTGGTGCTGTTTCGAAGTTCTATGAGGTTATCGTGCTTCTCAATTTTTTCGGTGCTCATAAAAAATAGTATAGCTATTATCGAAAATATAGTTTTTATTTCTACTTTTCGTAATAACCATTTACGTAGTGATACGAAGTTCTACATGGTTATCATGCTTCTCAATTTTTCGTGCCCGTGCAGTACAGTGTTGGTACCCGTGCAGTGCAGTGCCCAACACGTAAGATAGTAAAATGATTATTATTGTAAAAATAGGAATTCAAAACTCTATTTTATTAGTAATAATCGATTACTTTTACGTAGTTTCCTCTCTACACTGCTTATGAATCTGCTGTATTTTTTATTTTCCAAGATATGTTTTTTTGTGATTATACAAAGTTCCACATGGTTACACTGCTTCTCAATTTTTTTGGTGTATATTACTGCAGGCGTTTAATAATAACAATGCATACTTTTAAATATTTTATATGGAGTAAAAAGGCTGAACAATTTCGGGTGCAAAAATATTTTTCAATTAGGCGGGAAATAAAAAACAAAAAATCATTTGCATACATTTTATTTTACATGTTTATTAAAAAATATTTACATACATTAATAAATCAATACTTTATTTTCTTAAATCCAAATGGTACAGAGGTATGATCTTCATAGAATTTCCTTTTCATTGAAGTTATCTTGTATACCTTAGGAAACTCGACTGTTACTACTGCATGCTCTCTTGTACGTCGTAGCTGTCGAGAAAGTACAGAAACAGGATCAGATTTCTTCAGCACCATGTCTTTTATTTTCTCAAAATTGACTACTTGGGATGCCTTGTAGTTGAGTGATATGCCTTTTACTTTACATACGATCTGTTCCTCTCCAGACAAAGTAGTATATTTGTAGGCGTAGTTCTTAGGTCCTCCAGAAACAAACTCTGATATGAAACCCCCATTGAGCTCATCGGTCATATCACCTATGAAGTCGCCTGTAGATATGTCGTCTAATCCCTTACGAGAGATATAAATACATGAATCTGTATCTACGTAAACTGCCCTTTCTTCCACTTTCTCCAAGAATGAATATAATTTTAGTCTAGCTAGGGCCGTGACATATGAAGCCAATACAACGTTAACCGTTGAAGAAACGTCATAGGCCTCTTCTCTAAATTCCCAAGTTATGAGAAGGGTTTCTTCGTTTACCGGGAGAACTGTATTTACATGAATAGAAGGATTAGTCAGCATATCAAAGAATTCACCACAGTCTCTGACTATTGAGGTTTTGTTTTGGTTTTCTTTTTGAGCAAATTTACCCCAAAAGGAATTCAGCATAAGTTTAGCTAACGATCTCAAACAGGGGTTCTCTATAATTTTTGAAAATTCCAGCTTTATGTCTTCTCTATCCAAAAATGCATCAATATAACGGTTTTTTTCTTCATCCGTTAAGCAATGTTTGGGCCATCCTGAAGCTTGTTGTTTTATTTGTAGAAACTTGTTCATCATTCCGCTAAATAACCCCTCTTGGTCTTTACTGAGCTGAATTGTATCGTATTCCCATATTTCGTAAGTCTCTATAATCTGGTAACCTTTTTCAATAGCTTTGAGCACCTCTTCTATCACCCAAGTTCCTTTTAGGCTTCTTTCTTGAATAGAATGCTGACACTCTTCTCGAACGAAATCTTCACCACATTTTTGACAGTTAACAAACATCAATTTGTTGTTCATTTTTGACGGTAAAACGGGGTGATATAAGTTCTGGTTCGGTAGAATCTGGCATTTAATAAGTCCTGACATCTGCGACAGAGAGGCTGTAACACATTCTTCACCTACGTAAATTTTTTTTGGATGACCCACCGGAAATTTTCCATATTTACAGATGAAGGGGTACAGGGAACATATATCGACATATTTTATGCATTCATTTGTTTTGATCTTGTAGTATTCAACGATATTTTCTGTACGTCCCCGTAGAGAGCGTCTCTGGGGTTAATCGGTAAATTGATTATCAATGGATGTGCTTCTGTGAAGGCTCTAATTTCATCGTTTAGCATTCCTCGAAATTGACATTCCCATATCTCAATTACTTCTAGTCCAAGGCTTCGGAGTCTCTCTACTTTGCTAACTGATTGTTCGTATCGACTTTCCAATGTATTCAACGGATCATTATGCAGAGGATTGCTTCTGTTGTATTTGAAACATCGAGGGCAACCGTGAAAATAGCATCCTTGGAATTCAAACACTTGATTTGTGTCGCTACAAAAACCGTCTACTTTATGTCCCTTAACAATGGTTTCTATACCCTTAGCGGCGTGTTGAATTTTGATTCCTCTTTGATGTTCCTCCCACAACAGCCATTGGATGGCAATTTTTGACTGATTTTCACGCCATCTATAGCCCCCTTTTGGAATTACCCCGATCGTCTCAGGTTTTAAAAAATTGCGTCTAAAGACTTTGTTACAGCATGATGCAATAGTGGTGCTTTCCTGGAAGGGATCGACTGTGGTTTCGGTTTTCATCAGGTCTCGAAATTTGAGACACGCCTGTGTCAATATTTCCACATCGGAGATACAGTATTCAACGATTTCTTTCTGAAAATCAAAAACGTATCCCTCCGCTTGTCTTTCGCCATGCCATTTTAATAATTTTTCCCGAGCGTCTTCCTTTAAATGGTCGGGATCGTAGAAGTCGAGCGCTGGAATTGGCCCTACATAATTCTGATGAGCCAAAGTGTTGAATAAATGTGGAAAGTATCCTTTCTTTAGCTCTTTCAAATCAAACGCCTTGGGTAGAGCAGTTAGAGGCATAGGAAAATAATTGAGAGAATCCAGAAATTTTACATTTCCTACCTCCATCAATATTAATTTTGTTCCTCTCATAATTACATTCGGGTACAGACTAGTCTTCTCTAAAATGTAACGAAGTAGAAAACTGATGATCAAATCCTCCACCATTATGCGCCAGTACAATGACTTTCTTGAATTTTTTACGAAGTGTCAGAATATGATGCATAAATGGAGAAATGACGTCTTGACATCGAAGAATCTGTATTCGAAGGCCACATTTCTTGCATATAGGATTATCGGTACATGATTCACAACATTGTTTGAATACACATAGATTTGGCTCATGCAGTAAGATCCATTGGGTAATTCCTTCTCCTGACGGGTTTCCAAATCGTAAAATATTAATAAGACATCATTTGATTTAGGAATACTTCTGTCAGGCTGTATATAGCAACATATGTTCAATTGGTTGATTTTTATAACATGTTTTACAAAGTATATATCCGCAGCTTGTGATCATTACCGTTGTGAACTTTTAAAACCGTCTACACCTCTTTTAATTTAGAACAGACCGATGGTAAATGAGCGTTTAAAACATTCTTGTCCATAAAAGCTTTCTATTACATTCTTTGCATTTGATGTGGCTTCGTTTTCAGGCAGGCCGGAGATCTTTTACAAGCAATAACATTGTTATCACATCTATGAATTTGTTTAGTATTATACGGAATGTGGCAAGTTCTCTCACAAAAAAAGCTGCAGCAAAAGGCAGCAGTGAGGGATGTTATGACGCTGTAGTGCCCCTCGTGATATATTAGGTTAAGCGTCGGACCAGCGGACACGCCTTCAAAAATGACGTCACGACCTTTGCACCCAAACTTGTATACAACAATTTTGTAGTTTTGCAGATATCGTTGTAGCTTTTGAAGTTCAGGTATTCCACACCCCTCCTCAGGGATAACAATATCAGCCTTTTCCACAAGGTTGTACAGCTCTTTGTCCTTGTATTTTTCCTCGATCACGGCGGATTTCTGCTTATAATCTTTGTCTTTGTTCAAAATGGGCCATGGCGATGACAAGGGCTCGTGGGAGACACAAATTATCGGTGTTTTTTAAACGGTGATAATGCCTTTTCTTTTGGCGCATTCTCATCAAAGGTATTGAAATTCGAGCTCTACCACGACCAGCAGGCAACCTTACGGACGTAATACCCAAGCAAAAAGTCTTCGGTATTCAACCCCACAGAATTTGACTGATAGATGGAAGATATCTTCTCCCATATGTCCTCAGTTGAAACGTCGGAAAACATTTTAAAAGCTATCCATCCTTGACCGCGGGTAAAGTCTTTGGAACAGAAAGTGAATCCAACTTGATCACTGGGCTGGAGATGTTCAGTTCCTTTGGCTACTATTTCCTCCAGAGCGTCCTTTGATCCATCCCACAGGTTCGACTCCGTCTTTAGGGATAGGTCGTATTTTAAATTCCACCTTCTCGCCCATATAGATTAAATTTTTTTAATCTTCTTAGTAGAATCCTTACCGATGAAGAATTTTCCCATTTTTTAAAAACTAAAACGTAACTAGCGAATAAATCTGAACTGAGCACGTCTGTTCGCTGCAGATAACTGACAAGATAATTTGCGGGTGACTTCATAGGTATTTATAATCTGATTTTACCCCCACCACTTTTTAAACTGACCACAGTGTTTCAAGGTCACCGCTGTTATCGTTGGTCAGTATTAACTCGTTGACAGCCTGCGCTTCCTGCACATTCACCCATGCTTAACAGCCCCGCCCGGTACTTCTGCATAATCACCGCTACGACAACAACCTGCCCTGAACCTAACCTCATTTGCGACGTAGGTTTTCAATATTGTATCAATGTTAAAAATTAACTACATTAACTGTATGCCACCACTATATGAGCAATTCCATTTTATATGCACACTGAATATGACGTGTTGATTATTGATCATCCTATACGCATTGTTTCCCGCGAATTTTATACGTTTTTCCATTTAAACTGAATCAGCAAATTGCATCTCTATAAATATCATTATTCATGGGCTTTTATCGATCTATATGCAAATATTTACCGCAAAAAAATGAAATGAGTCACATCGCGCTTACGCATAGACGTTATACTACACCTTACTATCGTCGGCGCTGTCTGAATCACTTCCGGTCGGGTGCGCTATCTAACGGGGCCCGCCAATCAACATATACCATCAACCCGTTCAAAACTTCCCGCCGTCTGATCCACCAATCAGAGCACGCGGTGGATCTAGCGGTTCCCGCCAATCAACATATACCATCACCCGTTCAAATTTCCGCGTTTGATCCGCCAACAGAGCACGCGGTGGATCTAGCGGTTCCCGCCAATCAAATATACCATCAACCCCGTTCAAATTTCCCGCCGTTTGATCCGCCAATCAGAGCACGCGGTGGATGTGGTGGGCGTGGCCAAAAAGTGGAAGTGGTGGGGGCGCCAGAGTGCACCAGTATCTACTAAAGACCTTATGGAAATGCAATTTGACGGAAGCTGTCAAAGCTCTCTGAATATCAGTGATTTCTATTGAAATGTTCAAGTCGTGAAAAAACGGTTGCCTTTATAAATAAGGGTACATTATAGACGTTATATTATGTCTTTGTGCTTTAGAATTAGGAAAACTTTTACAGAATTCAAATTTTTATCATTTCACAAAAGGCGGTCAGTTATTTAATGGACCAATGAAAATGCGAGAAATAATAGGTCGATTTTCTAGCTTTTATATTTGCTGGATGTTTTCACTGTTTTTGACGATGATCATGCATGGCAATCCAGGTTTTGCCTGTATATCACGTACAGGGTGTTGTACATAATACGTACCTGTATAATGTACTGATTTTATTATTTTGCAGAAAAGGGATGTAAAACGTATTCCAACTGGTTCATCATATTTTGTTACATCAAAAAACTTTTTGCCACCTTATGATCCAGAATCCACACCAAATGTAAACAAACCGCACATTTTGCATTTCTGGGTCCTAAAACATCGATTATTGTAAAATATCCGCATCCACCTATTTATTCATCGTCTAGATATTATACTAAGTGACATATAAATTCGAACTCCCAGTTTAAATGGTTTGTTTTAATAAAATTTTGTATAAGTACTTAATGAAGCATAATAGTAAATGATAAAATTTCAAAATGATTGCACTGCTTTAAAGCCCTTTGACTTTTAATAATGTGTGGATGCACCCTGATGTGCTACGCATTCCTCCATGCGCCTAGGCATGCTTCTGATCAGGTGTCTATGTCCTCCGGTGGTATCTCATTCCAGGCAACACCAACTCCCCTCGAAGTGCTTCTAGAGTCTGAGGTGGACGTTGCAAAATTGAGCAATCTCCTACCCATCATATCCCACACGTGCTCAATTGAGGATAAGTCGGGAGATCTTGGTGGCCATGGTAACAATGTGACATCATATGTTGAAAGAAGTCTCTTGTGACTCTTGCAATATGTGGTCGGGCATTATCTTGTTGCAAAGTTGGATCTGCCAGGTGTCAAGATAGGGTAAAGATGGGGTTCTAGAACTTCGTGGATATAACGCTGCGCGTTCATGTTACCGCTGATGAAGATTTAAAGGTGACCTGGAACCATAAGCTATAGCCCCCCAAACATAACTCCAACAGTTGTGCTGACATGTCTTTCAACAAACAACTGTGGATTCCTCCTTTCACACGTCGCCTTCTAACCCTGGCACGACCATCGTACATGCCTAAACAAAATCGAGACTCGTCACTAAGACAATACTGTTCCATTCCTGATCCCAGAGTGACCTTTGTCTGCACCACTCAAGGCGATTACGTCGGTGTTCTCGAGTTAAAGGGAGGACCCAGTGTGGCCGGTATGAAACAAGCCAAAATTCTCATTCGTCGGTAAACACTTCGCATGCCAATAGGTCTTCCGTGTTCTGCCAACCATTCATTTGCAATGGACCTGGTAGTGGCAGAAACGGTCCCTTAAGGCCAATAATCTTAGGCGGCGATCTTCACGGTCTGTTGTTCTACGGCGGCGTCCAGTGGCCCTTGCTTTGCGTACGGCCTTCTCGAAGCC